AGGGTCTAGAAACCCCTGCCAAATGCTAAAACGCTCAGTGAGGGGTGCTGAGAACTTAGGCTTTCCCTCCTTCCTGCCTAGTTGTCCAGAAAGGGATGCTCCCTTCTCCTTCCTAGACAGCTCCTCTGATTTTCTAGCTCTTCATCTGATTCAGCCTCTTTCTCTTGTGCCACACAAGGCCACCCCTGCACATATACATCTAGGTATGCATTCTGCCTGTTCTACATTAGCTCCTCTGGACTGTGAACCTTGAAGGCAGAGGACAAGGCTGATCCCTTTCTTTTTCTTTTTGAGACGGAGTCTCGCTCTGTCGCTCAGGCTGGAGTGCAGTGAACGATCTTGGCTCACTGCAACCTCCACCTCCCAAGTTCAAGCAGTTCTCCTGAGTAGCTGGGATTACAGGCACCTGCCACTACACCTGGCTAATTTTTGTATTTTTTGTTTTGTTTTTTTGCTTTTCCATCTGATTTATTTCTTCACATTACAGCCTACTTTGCATATAAGCCCACACATATCAGATGGTAACTCTGGAATGGGTGGGTCTGTGCCATTGACCCAGCACAGCTGTGAGGATGACAGGCAGGTTAACACAGAGGGGCTTTCTTTTAAACTGGAGTTCATATTAGATTATTTGGATCCACAGAGCTCATTCAGTACTCCATGTTCTGGTGGCTTCCCTTGATTTCTAATAAAAGCTATAGACTGAGCCACTCAATTCCACATGGCTGGGGAGGTCTCAGGAAACTTACAATAAAGGTGGAAGGCACCTTCTCACAGGGTGACAAGAGAGAGAATGAGTGCCTAATTTTTGTATTTTTAGTGGAGATGGGGTTTCACCATGTTGGTGAGGCTGGACTCAAACTCCTAACCTCAAGTGATCCTAGCACCTCAGCTCCCAGAGTGCTGAGATTACAGTCATGAGCCACCATGCCCAGCCAAGGCTGGTCCATTTTTGTCCCCAGTGAAAGGATTATGGCATAGTAAATGCTAAGTAAAGTAAATGTTAGCCAAATGCATTATTTCCCCAATTCTTTTATTTTTTCCTTTTCTTTTCTTTTTCTTTTTTTTTTTTTTGAGACAAAGTCTCACTCTGTCACCCACGCTGAAGTGCAGTGGCCATGATCTCAACCCACTGCAACCTTTGCCACCCAGATTCAAGTGATTCTTGTGCTCATGGTAATGCTCACATTTCCCACATAGTGAAAAACTCTCCCTCCATCTGCATCAAGCCACTACTAACCCATTACCTTTCTTCCTCTAACTTGTTTTCTTTTTTGAGACAGGGTCTCACTGTAGACTAGGCTGCTGTGCAGTGGTACAATCACAGCTCACTGAAGCCTCGACCTCCCAGGTTCAGGTGATCCTTCTACCTCAGCCTCCCAAGTAGCTGAGGCCACAGGTATGTGCCACCACACCCAGCTAATTTTTGTATTTTTTGTAGAGATGGGATTTCACCATGTTGCCCAGGCTGGCCTTGAGAACTCCTGGGTTCAAGTGATCTGCCTGCCTTGGCCTCCCAAAGGGCTGGAATTACAGGATCAAAGCCATTGTGCCTGGCCTTTACTATATCCTTGAGAAGTCCTTCCTCTTATTCTCCAAGTCTTCCTCTCCTGTTCATTCCTAAATTCAGGTCACCTGGCTCAGGATTAACCATTCCACTGAACGAGCTCTCCACATTGGTCACCAATGATCTTCATGTCAACCAAATCCAAAAGTTTCTGCTGCGGATATAAGACAACATGACTATAAAGAGCATGGTAAATAGTGGATGCTCAATAAAATGGCTGTTCTTATATTATTATTCGCTCTCTTCTGTTTTTTATTGTTGTTTTTATTACTTATTTATTTATTTAGAGACGGAGTTTCGCTCTTGTTACCCAGGCTGGAGTGCAATGGCGCGATCTTGGCTCACTGCAACCTCCACCTCCTGGGTTCAGGCAATTCTCCTGCCTCAGCCTCCCAAGTAGCTGGGATTACAGGCATGCACTACCATGCCCAGCTAATTTTTTGTATTTTTAGTAGAGACGGGGTTTCACCATGTTGACCAGGATGGTCTCGATCTCTTGACCTTGTGATCCACCTGCCTCGGCCTCCCAAAGTGCTGGGATTACAGGCTTGAGCCACCGCGCCTGGCACTTATTTATTTATTTTTGAGATGGAGTCTTGCTCTGTTGCCTAGGCTGGAGTACAGAGGTGCCATCTTGGCTTACTGCAACCTCTGCCTCCCAGGTTCAGCAATTCTCCTGCCTCAGTCTCCCACGTAGCTGGGAATAAAGATGCATGCCACCAAGCCCAGCTAATTTTTGTATTTTTAGTAGAGATGGGGTTTCACTATGTTGGCCAGGCTGGTCTCAAACTCCTGACCTCAGGTGATCCTCTCACCTCGGCTTCCCAAAATGCTGGGATTACAGGTATGAGTCACTGCACCCAACCTGTTTGTTTTTAGACAGGGTCCTGAGTTAAAAAAAAAATTTGAGGGGATGCTGATGCCCTTTTTTGCCTCAGCCCGCCTGCACCTATTTGAATAAACAGCCATGTTGCTCACACAAAGCCTGGTTGGGGATCTCTTCATTCAGAGCATACATTTTAATATCTGGTGTGTGAAACCCAGGAAAGGGATACTCCTTTGGGGAGAACAGCCCCTTCCTTGTCCCTGCTCTCCCTCTGTGAAGAGACCTATCTGAGACCTTAACACATCAGACTAGAGCTGGTACTTAGTGTGCCAAACAGTTCTGTTGCCACCTTCAGATCAGGTAAGAAGTCTCTCCTCCTTTCTCTCTCTTCTCCTTTAGAGAATGGGCTCTCTCTCTTTTCCTTTATTTTAATTTTTATTTATTTATTTTTGAGACGGAGTTTCTCTCTTGTTACCCAGGCTGGAGTGCAATGGCGCGATCTCGGCTCACCACAACCTCCGCCTTCTGGGTTCAGGAAATTCTCCTGCCTCAGCCTCCTGAGTAGCTGAGATTACAGGCACGTGCCACCATGCCCAGCTAATTTTTTGCATTTTTAGTAGAGACGGGGTTTCACCAAATTGACCAGATGGTCTCAATCTCTTGACCTCGTGATCCACCTGCCTCGGCCTCCCAAAGTGCTGGGATTATAGGCTTGAGCCACCGCGCCCAGCCTTACATACAGGTTTTTCTTTTTTAATTTGAAATGTTTCTCTTTTTTTTTTTCCTTGAGACAAGGTCTGATTCTGTCACCCAGGCTGGAGTGCAGTGGCACTATTGTGGACACCTCACTGGGGACTGTCAGGCTCAAGGGATCCTCCCACCTCAGCCTCCTGAGTAGTTGGGACCATAGGCACACACCACCATGCCTTGCTTTTTTTTTTTTTTTTTGGCAGAGACAGGATCTTGCTATGTTGCCCAGGGTGGACAACAACTCCTGGACTCAAGTAGTCCTCCTGCCTAGGATCTCCAAAGTGCTGGGATTACAGGCTGAGCCACCACAACCAGCCAGAGTCTGAGTGTTTTTTTGTGTTTCACACTTGTTGCCTAGGCTGGAATCCAATGGTGCAATCTCGGCTCACGGCAACCTCTGCCTCCCAGGTTCAAGCAATTTTCCTGCCTCAGCCTCCCAAGTAACTGGGATTATAGGCATGCATCACCATGCCTGGCTAATTTTGTATTTTTAGTAGAGATGGGGTTTCTCCATATTGTTCAGGCTGGTCTCAAACTCCTGTCCTAAGGTGATCCACTCTCCTCGGCCTCCCAAAGTGCTGGGAAAACAGGCATGAGCAACCGCACCCTGCCAAGTCTGAGTGTTTTTATGAGGATGGCGTAATACATTAGACATTTGGTCCACCAGAACATCACTTATTTTGGGGAGATAGTAGGGGACAGTCGGGGTGGGGAAATGGGAAGAGTGGCACTGGGGGAGCAAAGGTGTGGGGAAAAGCAGAGCCAAACTGAGGTAACCCTGCATCTTGCCCATCCCTGCCAAGGAAAACACATAAATGCAAGACCTCCCCATTCAAACAGCACAGGCGATTTCAAATCTCAGATCTGTCATTTAATTAATACCTGTGTGACTTTGGGAAAATTATAAATAGCTTTAACCTTGCTGAGAATGTCTAATCTGTAAAACAGATCACTAATACTTTCCTCACAGGTTTATGACGTGCTGGTAATAGCTATATCTTCATCTGGATGGCAGTTACATTGCAAAAAATAACAATAATAGAACTGTATACATTTAAGATTTGTACATTTTCTTTCTTCCTGGATGTAGAATAGAAAAAAAAAGATTTGTGTATTTTCTGTATGTATGCTATACTACGATTTTAAAAGGCTTGTACGGAATAAAATAATATTCCTGGCCGGCCGCGGTGGCTCACGCCCATAATCCCAGAACTTTGGGAGGCCGAGGCGGGTGGATCACGAGGTCAACAGCTCGAGACCATCCTGGTCAACAAGGTAAAACCCCGTCACTACTAAAAATACAAAAATTAGCTGGGCATGGTGGCGCGCGCCTGTAGTCCCAACTACTCGGGAGGCTGAGGCAGGAGAATTGCTTGAACCCAGGAGGCGGAGGTTGCGGTGAGCCGAGATCGCGCCATTGCACTCCAGGTCTGGGTAACAAGAGCGAAACTCCGTCTCAAAATAAATAAATAAATAAATAAATAAATAAATAAATAATATTCCTTTTCCAGGGTTATTGTGAAGATTTGATAAGATCATATTAAGTGTTAAGCACAGTGCCTGGCACATAACGTGCTGCACGGGTCCATAGTCCAGACAGAAAGGGTACCCAGGCACTTTCCAGCGTCTGGACCTGTAGACCCGACGTCTTCTCTGTTCTGGCCAACCTTTGGGTTGCAGCTGCTCTCTGGGCCTCAGTTTGCTTTAATTAAATGTAACGGGGCCAACTTTGGTGAACTGTGGGAATCCAGCCAACATGACTTTAGGGAGAGGATGGAGCCAGGGATGGCATTGTGAATCCGGAGGGCGGACGCCAGAACCTGCAACGTGGCATCTACGACTCTACTTCCCCCGGAAAAGCGCCAGCAATTGCGCCCAGGCGCGCGGTGCAATGTGGGCCAGCAAGAGGCGCGGCTGGCCTCGCCCCTGGACCGCCCACGAGGCCGGCGCCCCCTGCCTCATTACGCTCAGAAGCTCTCCAGACCCACGCGGTGGAGTGAGTGACCCTGTTCCGGCCAGTTCGACCTCGAGGATCCAGAGGTGAAGACGGCATTAACTCCCCTCTCTGGCTTCCATTCGCTACAGGTCCTTCCTCTGGAGGTGGGGAAGGAGGTACACCCTGCGCGTGATCCTTGATGCCCGCCCCCTGCCCCTCCCTCCGGGTGGAGCTGCCTCATCACCGCCAGACTTAAGCTGAGGCTTCTTGGCTCTCTGGCAGTTTGTAGAACCGAGCCCACGCCACACTATCCTGTTCACGCTCTGTGCTTGTGCCAAGGTGAGTTTCTTCTGCTGCTGGCCCGTCTTTCTCCTGGAGGAGATAGCCTCAATCCTTTACTACTGAGATGTCAGCCCATGGGATTGAGCGGAGAGCGCAAGGCACTGGAGGGGACGAGAGTTGGTTTCGGATTTGAGCTCCTGTTTTTCTCTGTATGATCTTGGCTAACTTATCAGTTTCTCTGAACCCCAGTTTCCTCAGCGATAAAATGAGTTCCTACATTAGAGCTGTAGCAAGAATTGAGATAAAGCTTCGAAGGCGCACAGGACATACTATGTGATCTGTAAGTTTTAATTGTCATCTTTTCGTTTGCTCACCTACGTCCTTTTTCCAGACGCTCGGGCTTTCTTATGCAGGTGCAGGGATGCTTCTCGGAAGTGGCGAGAAGTGAGGATAAAATTGTCTTGAGTCTGGGAAACTCCGACATGTTATTGTGTTGCCCCAGAACTCTGTTTTTTTTTTTTGAGATGGAGTTTTGCTGTTGTTACCCAGGCTGGAGTGCAATGGTGCGATCTCGGCTCACCGCAACCTCCGCCTCCTGGGTTCAGGCAATTCTCCTGCCTCAGCCTCCTGAGTAGCTGGGATTACAGGCACGCGCCACCATGCCCAGCTAATTTTTTTTTTTTGTATTTTTAGTAGAGACGGGGTTTCACCATGTTGACCAGGATGGTCTGGATCTCTTGACCTCGTGATCCACCCGCCTCGGCCTCCCAAAGTGCTGGGATTACAGGCTTGAGCCACCGCGCCTGGCCTCAGAACTCTGTTAAAGTGAGACACAGATCTGAACCTTCACTGGATGAGGCTACTGTTAATTAACTCTTACCCTTCAGATCGTTCATACTCAGGGCTGCAGGTCTGTTACTTTTCCAAGGTCTGTTTCCGTATCTGTAATAAAGGAGCAATCTCAGTATGATTCTATCTGGTCCACTGGAATTTTTTGCCAAATACAGTAAAGTGCTTTTATATTCTCCAAGAGGATTATTTCCAGGTTTTCCAAGAAGTAAAGGAAGATGGTGACAGAGGCAGTGACTTCCTCAAATGTCCTTCCAGCTGGTCAGACTCCACCTGTCAAGATCTCTCCCTCGTTAGCCATGTGTGTGTATGTGTGTCTGTGTGTGTGTGTGTACATTGTATATATGTATGTTTGTATGGGACAGGTACTCTAGGAGTGAGGGGTTCAGGCAGATGACAGCTCAGACCTCAAGGAGTAGCCAGGTTTGTGGGGTAAATTTATATATAGACAGAAAAATGCAGTGATGTGCACATGCTTTCAGTACATGGAGGTAGCCATCCATTAATTTATTTTCTTTTTTTTTTTTTTTACACACAAAAGTTTTTAGTTTATTAATAAGCTTCTCGTGAAAAATCCACAACGGCCATAGATAACATCATTGCGGCACCTTTTACTCCTTCGGCTTTTTGCCAGCACCAACATTGGCCTTTGCAGTCCCCCTGACTTTTTTCATTCTGTTCTTGCGTTCCTTTCGTTGCTTTCTTGAGGTCTTCTTCTTCTCATACAGGCCATGTCTTGCAAGTCTATGTTTGGGTTCATTTTTCTTTGCATAATCCAGGGAATCATAAATCATGCCAAAGCCAGTTGTCTTGCCACCACCAAAATGAGTTCTGAATCCAAATACAAAGATGACATCCGGTGTGGTCTTGTACATTTTGGCTAGTTTTTCCCGAATTTCTGTCTTAGGCACTGTTGCCTTCCCAGGGTGAAGGACATCAATGACCATTTGTTTCCTCTGAAGTAGTCGGTTGGTCATGAACTTTCTAGTGCGGATAGTTATTGTGTCGTTCATGATGGCGGCCTATCCTTAGACCTAATTTCTTTTCTTTTTTTTTGAGACGGAGTTTCGCTCTTGTTACCCAGGTTGGAGTGCAATGGCGCGATCTCGGCTCACCGCAACCTCCGCCTCCTGGGTTCAAGCAGTTCTCCTGCCTCAGCCCCCTGAGTAGCTGGGATTACAGGCACGCGCCAACATGCCCAGCTAATTTTTTTTTTTTGTATTTTTAGTAGAGACGGGTTTCACCATGTTGACCAGGATGGTCTCGATCTCTTGACCTCGTGATCCACCCACCTCGGCCTCCCAAAGTGCTGGGATTACAGGCGTGAGCCACCGCGCCCGGCCTATTTATTTATTTTCTTTTCAGAGATGGATGGGGCTTTCTCGCCCTGTTGCCCAGGCTGGAGTGTACTGGTAGAATCCTTCCTTGCTCATTGCAGCCTCAAACTTCTGGGCTCAAGTGATCTTGCCACCTCAGGCTCCCTTTGGACTAGAAGCACATGCCACTGGGCCCAGTTAATTTTTAAAAATTTAAAAAAAAAAATTCTGCCTAGCAAGCAGACTCAAAGATTTTTTTTTTTTTTTTTTTGTAGAAACAGTTTCCCCCTTTGTTGCCCAGGTTTCAAGTGATCCTCCTGCCTCAGCCTGCCCAGGTGTTGAGATTACATGTATAAGCCACTGTACCTGGAAAGGAACCAGAAATGTAAAGTGCTAGCTCAAGGATGAGCAGTAGTTAGCCAGGCAAAGGTAGGGTTTGGGGAAGGAAAGTGGGCAGACACCTAGAGTCAGGTAAGTGGTGCAACCCTGTTGAGTGTTCAGAGTCTGGAAAACAGTCTGACATGAGGAGGTGATGAAATGAGGAAGATAAGACCCAGGTTTTGAGGAGCCTGGGCTTTATCCTGAATATAGGGGAGAACTCCTAGAAGGGTTTGAGACTGGGAGTCACCTGGTTGGATCTGGTGATGGACTGTGGGAAGAGGGACCACATTGGAAGCCAAGATCTGTGGTTTAAGTGAACAGTAATGGTCAGCTGGGCACAGTGGGTCATGCCTGTAATCCTAGCACTTTGGGAGGCAGAGGCAGGCAGATCACCTGAGGTCAGGAGTTCCAGACTAGCCTGGCCAACATGGCAAAACCCTGTCTCTACTAAAAATACAAAAAGCAGCTGGGTGTGGTGGCACACACCTGTAATCCCAGCTACTCAGGAGTCTGAGGCAGGAGAATCACTTGAACCCAGGAGGCAGAGGTTGCAGTGAGCTGAGATCATGCCACTGCTCTCTAGTCTGGGCAACAGCAAGACTCTGTCTCAAAAAAAAAAAAAGGCTGGTTGCAGTGGCTCACACCTGTAATCCCAGCACTTCGGGAGGCTGATGCGGGTGGATCACAAGGTCAAGAGATCAAGACCATACTGGCCAACATGGTGAAACCCCATCTCTACTAAAACTACAAAAATTAGCTGGACATGGTAGTGTATACTTGTAATCCCAGCTACTTGGGAGGCTGAGGCAGGAGAATCGCTTAAACCAGGGAGTTGAAGGTTGCAGTGAGCCAAGATGGTGCCACGGCACTCCAGCCTAGTGACAGAGTGAATCTAAAAAAAAAATACAGTATATGCTGGGCCTAGTGGCTAACTCCTGTAATTCCAGCACTTTGGGAGGCCAAGGCAGGCGGATCACCTGAGGTCGGGAGGTCGAGACCAGACTGACCAACATGGAGAAACCCCATCTCTACTAAAAATACAAAATTAGCTGGACGTGGTGGCACAGCCTGTAATCCCAGCTACATGGGAGGCTGAGGCAGGAGAATCACTTCAACCGGGAACCAGAGGTTGCTGTGAGCTGAGATCATGCCATTGCACTCCAACCTGGGCAACAAGAGCAAAACTGTCTCAAAAAAAAAATACAGTATAACACTTATTTACCTAGCATTTAGCATTTATACTGTATTAGGAATTATAAGTATTCTAGAGATGATTTAAAATATATAGGAACATGTAATTGGGTTATATGCAAATACTATCCCATTTTATATAAGGGACTGGAGCATCCCAGGATCTTGATATCCAAAGGGGTCCTGGAACTAATCTCCTGTGGATACCAAGGGATGAGTATATAGAAAGAAGAGCATGGGATGAATATACAGAAAGAAGAGCATGCAAGGTGCTTTAGATATAGTATCTCTTGAAATATCAGAACTAAGCATCAAACAGCCTTAACTGTTTCCTCTGCACTCTACTACTGGATTTGATGAGTACAGTGTTGGACATGGTGAATCTCAGGTGCCTATGGAACATACTAGTGGAGATGTCCAGAGGGCATTGAATATACAGAACTGGGGTGTGAAGAATCAAGGCTTAAGGTGATAATTGAAGACGAAAATCGCCTGAACCCAGGAGGGAGAGATTGCAGTGAGCTGAGATCATGCCACTGCACTCCAGCCTGGTGACAGAGGGAGACTCTGTCTCAAAAAATAAATAAATAAATAAAACCACAAAAATTAGCTGGTTGTGGTGGCATGCGCCTGCAATCCCAGCTACTTGGGAGGCTGAGGCAGGAGAATCAAGTGATTCACTTGAACCTGGGAGTGGGAGGTTGCAGTGAGCCGAGATCATGCCAGTACACTCCAGCCTGGGCAACAAGCAAAACTCCATCTCAAAAAAAAAAGAAAAGATAACATGAGAGTTTCTGAATGCTTCCAGAGGTCCAGGTAGACAGTTCATGACAAGCTCAGAGTCTGGAATCTGTTAATGCATGGCTAGTCTGGAAAGCAGTGGTATGAAGCAGAAGATGAGGATGTCAAGAGCTGGCTGAGGATGACTTTCTGTCCTAGAGAAAAACATCTATGTGGCACCTTCATTCTTAGGGAGCTCTTGTTCTTTGCAGATCTCCTCCTACCTCTTTCACCCCTGTGCCCCAAGCCTCATCCCCTTTGGTGTTCAGTTTCACCAGCAAAAGAAAGGGAAAAGCAAGATTCAGGTTTCTTCTTCCTTTTCCCCTTCAGCCAGGGTGTTCAAGCTCCCACCCCAGGTGTAATTTCAGAGCCTTCTCATATGTGCTGGGTAATCTGTGAGAGGCCAACAGGTCATTGGGCATTAAGCCCGGGAAACCGACCTTAGAGCCTGGTGGCAGCAGGCCACAAGGTTCCTCTTGTCAACTCCAGACTTGCTTGCTTGATTCCTTAGAAATTTGTGTCCCTGGCCAGGCTCAGTGGCTCATGCCTGTAATCCCAGCACTTTGGGAGGTCGAGGTGGGTAGATGACCTGAGGTCGGGAGTTCGAGATCAGCCTGGCCAACATGGAGAAACCCTGTCTCTAAAAAAAGAAAAGAAATTTGTGTCCCTGAGAAGCTTGATTATAAAGAGACACTCAGATTAAACAGTTTTGATTTTGTTTTAGCAGAAAAGAGTGGTTTCCAACGAAGTTATACTAGACTATGAAATTCTTGGCTGGGTGCAGTGGCTCACGCCTATAATCCCAGCACTTTGGGAGGTGGAGGCAGGCAGATCACCTGAGGTCGGGAGTTCAAGCCCAGCCTGACCAACATGGAGAAACCTTGTCTCTACTAAAAATACAAAATTAGCCTGGTGTGGTAGCACATGCCTGTAATCCCAGCTACTTGGGAGGCTGAGGCAGGAGAATCACTTGAACCCAGGAGGCAGAGGTTGCGGTGAGCTGAGATCCTGCCACTGCACTCCAGCCTGGGCAACAATAGCCTAACATCTCAAAAAAAAAAAAAAATTCCTGGGTCAGAAGTATTAGGAAAGACAGTGTTAGTGCTGGCTTTACTCACAACTTGGCTTTTTTTTCTTTTTTTTTCTTTTTTTTTTTTTTTTTTTAGATGGAGTCTTACTCTGTAGCCCAGGCTGTAGTGCAGTGGTGTGATCTCAGCTCACTGCAACTTCTGCCCTCTGGGTTCAAGCAATTCTCCTGCCTCAGCCTCCCAAGTAGCTGGGATTACAGGCATGCACCACCATGCTTAGCTAATTTTGATATTTTTAGTAGAGATGGGGTTTCACTATGTTGGCTAGACTGGTCTCGAACTCCTGACCTCAAGTGATCCACCCGCCTCAGCCTCCCGCAGTGCTGGGATTACAGACGTGAGCCACTGTGTCCAGATTTAACTTGTCGTCTTTGAGACAGGGTCTCGCTCTGTCGCCCAGACTGGAGTGCAGTGGCATGATCTCAGCTCACTGCAGCCTCCACCTCCTAGGTTCAGGCGATTCTCTGGCCTCAGGCTCCTGAGTAGCAGCTGGGATTACAGACGAGCACCACCACAACTGATTTTTTTTTTTTTTTTTTTTTGAGATAGAGTCTTGCTCTTTTACCCAAACTGGAGTGCAGTGATGTGATCTCGGCTCACTGCAACCTCCTCCTTCCAGGTTCTAGCAATTCTCCTGCCTCAGCCTCCCGAGTAGCTGGGACTACAGGCATGTGCTACCATGCACCCGGCTAATTTTTGTGTTTTTATTAGAGATGGGGTTTTACCATATTGGTCAGGCTGGTCTCAAACTCCTGACTTTGTGATCCGCCTGCCTTGGCCTCCCAGAGTGCTGGGATTACAAGCATGAGCCACCACGTCCGGCCACAACTTGTCTTATTATTTGCTCTATCCTATATCCTTTTAGAACCTAGAAACTAAGATTATATTTATAAAGATATTATTGGCAATTAAATCAATCCCAAAAATGATATTCATGATGCTGATGAGATCAAGGAAGAAGGTTGTATCTATCTTATTGACTGTTAGTGTGAACTTTTTTTTCTCCTTTCTCTTTCACTTGGATAACTCCTGTTCATTTATTCTTTAGGACTTGACTCAGGAAGAAATGGCCTCCAAGAAGCCATCCTAGCAAGGTTACTCTTTTCTTGCTGTCCTTGTGCAGCTCTTGTGCAGAATTTGTTCAAATCTCTTAATCACAGTGTACTAATATCATCGGTTCCCATTACAAGACCATAAACTGAAAGAAGGCAGGGACCCTATTTAAATATGTTTGTCTCTTGGGTTTAGCACAAAATTGGAACATTCAGTTTACTGACTAAATGAGCTTTGGAGACTTCTTACTTTCATAACTTTCCAGAGAGGGAGGATCTAGTTACCTGCTTTGTTTAGTTGGAAATTTACTTGTATCTAATTTGTTATTCTTCTGCTATAGTGAAGTCATGTGTATAGTTTTTCCTTCCTGGAAAGACTTCTTCTTGACCGTTGGGAATTCTTAAAAGCCAATGTCAATATTTCTTTGTCCTTGCCCTTTTCTGTAGCACATCATACATGTTTCTATTGTGAGGCATAGTGCATATCTTTTTATAGGTTTGTGTTTATTTGCCTTTTCTCCATTAGCTCCTCCTTAGATCCTTGGTTTTGCCACTTCTTAGCTGTAGATTTGGAGCGAATAACTTCAGTTTCACTTTTTTTTTTTTTTTTGAGATGGAGTCTCACTCTGACACCCAGGCTGGAGTACAGTGGCACAATCTTGGCTCACTGCAACCTCCACCTCCCATGTTTGAACAATTCTCCCACCTCAGCCTCCAGAATAGCTGGTACTATAGGTACACACCACTACACCCAGTTAATTTTTGTATATTTTGGTAGAAACAGAGTTTCACCATGTTGGCCAGGTTGCTCTCAAACTCCTAACCTTGAGTGATCTGTCTGCCTCAGCCTCCCTATGTGCTGGTATTACAGGTGTTTGCCACTGCACCCGGCCTAACTTCACTTCTTTGAGTCTATTTTCTCATCTAAAAAATTAAAGATCTGGACATGGTGGCTCATACCTTCCTCAGGGTGCTGAAGTGCCTGGATAGCTTAAGGCCAGAAGTTCAAGACTAGCCTGGGCAACCTAGCCATACCCCATCTCTAAAAAAATTTTAAAGCATCCAATTGGCCAGACTTAGGGGCTCACACCTGTAATCCTAGCACTTTGGGAGGCCGAGGCAGGTGGATTGCCTGAGCTCAGGAGTTCAAGACCAGCCTGGACAACATGGTAAAACCCTATCTGTACTAAAATAGAAACAATTAGCTGGGCATAGAGGCATGCACCTGTAGTCCCAGCTACTGGGGAGGCTGAGGAAGGAGAATTGCTAGAATCGGGGAGGTGGAGCTTGTAGTGAGCCGAGATCGTGACACTGCACACTCCAGCCTGGGCAACAGAGTGAGACTCCATCTCTTAAAAAAAAAAACAAAAAACTCCAGTTTTGGTGGCATAGGCATATAGTCCCAGCTACCTGGAAGGCTGAGGCAGGAATGTCACTTGAGTTTAGGAGTTCAAAGCTGCAATGAGCCATGATCACACCGCTCTACTCCTAGGAGACAGAAAAAGACCCTGACTCTAGAACAGAAAAAGATATACCTTCCTCATAGGAGCCCACTCAGACCTACCAGCATGGCTGATCAGACCTCTGTGAGAGGTACTTAGAGAATCTCTGTAGCTCTGACAACCTCCTGGGAACATTCATTTCATTCTCAGAGAAGTGGCCCCTTCCTGGGCCTATTCAGTTACCTGGTCTCACTTTCTCTCATAATGGTCTTTGCCTGCCTTACACTGGCTTGAGACCTTATTAAGTCAAGACTGGGTACTTTGGTGTGGCCACTCTGCTTTCGTTTTTACATAATGCAGTTTTTTATTTTTTGAGACGGGTTTCGCTCTTGTTACCCAGGCTGGAATACAATGGCACGACCTTGGCTCACCACAACCTCTGCCTACTGGGTTCAAGCAATTATCCTGCCTCAGCCTTCCTAGTAGCTGGGACTACAGGCGCGTGCCACCATGCCTAGCTAATTTTTGTATTTTTTAGTAGAGACAGGGTTTCACCTTGTTGACCAGGATGGTCTTTTGACCTCGTGATCCACCCACCTCCCAAAGTGCCGGGATTATAGGCGTGAGCCACCGCACCTGGCCCTTTTTTTTTTTTTTTTGAGATAGAATCTCACTCTTGTTGCCCAAGCTGGAGTGCGATCTTGGCTCACTACAACCTCCTGCTCCTGGGTTCAAGCTTTTCTCCTGCCTTGGCCTCCCAAATAGCTGGGATTACAGGCATGTATCACCACGCCCATCCAATTTTGTATTTTTTTAGTAGAGATGGGGTTTCTCCCTGTTGGTCAGACTGGTCTCAAACTCCTGACCTCAGGTGATCTGCCCACCTCTGCTTCCCAGGTGCTGGGATTACAGGCGTGAGCCACCATGCCTGCCCTGATAGTATAGGTCTTTAACCAAGATCTTTTTTTTTTTTTTTTTAATTTTTTATTGGATTTTAGGTTTTGGGGTATATGAGCAGAGCATGCAAGACAGTTGCATAGGTACACACATGGCAGTGTGCTTTGCTTTCCTTTTCCCCTTCACCCACATTTGGTATTTAACCAAGATCTTTAGCCTGGCACAAAGAAAGGCAGCCAGGCTGGTGGTCTGGTTAGTGTTTGTCCAGGAGTTACTGGCCATGATTGGTTTTGGGCACCCTGTCTCTACTGCCTTTGCTCACAGGCACATATATAACCATGTGTTTGTCCTCCACATCTGTCCCATCTTCCCCACCCCTTTCTGACCCACGCTTTGCAGTATTCTTTTTGAGACAGTCTTACCCTGTTGCCCAGGCTGGAGTGCTGTGATGTGATCTTGGCTCACCGCAACCTCCGCCTCCCGGGTTCTAGCGATTCTTGTGCTTCAGCCTCCCCAGTAGCTTGGACTACAGGTGTGTGCCACCATGCCCAGCTAGTTTTTATATTTTTAGTAGAGATGGGGTTTCATCATGTTGGCCCAGCTGGTCTCGAACTCTTGACCTCAGATGATCTGCCTGCCTCAGCCTCCCAAAGTTCTGGGATTACAGTTGTGAGCCACTGCACCTGGCTGCTTTGCAGTAGTCTTGAGAGTGGATATCTGAGACCTGAAAAACAGCACTAACCCCTACACCATTCTCTTCCCATCTGTGTTTCAGAGGACAATGGCGGTTTCCTGTGTTCTCCTGCACACTGGGCAGAAGATGCCCCTGATTGGTCTGGGTACCTGGAAGAGTGAGCCTGGTCAGGTGAGGGATGGGAGAAGAAAAGAAAAACTTGTGAAGCCTCTGCCTGCATTTTTCTAGCAGCTCCAGCCCCATACTGCCCTTCCAGTAGGGATGAGCCTGGAGAGCAATGGGAAGAGATAAGAGAAGAGTACAGTTACACACCCTGGACTTCTCCAGCTGACTCAGAGTGGGCTGAGGGGCCCAGCAGGGCCAGGGCCATCGGAAGGACATCTTTCTCTAACTGGATCTGCACTGAGTGCTGTGGCAGACATGGGGCCCCTCTGTGACCATTCCTGTGCTATGACCCCTAATATGGCAGTTATCACCCTGTGCTGTGATCATGTCTCCTCTCCCACATTGGGCTCTTTGAGGGCTGGGCCTTTCTGTACCTCTCTGTCCAGAATTAGGCACAAAGCAGATGTCAAGGTTTGAAGAAGAACTAGGTGAACTGTATAAACCAAAGGTCAGTAAGCTTCTTTTTTTTTTTCTTCTTGAGACAGGGTCTCGCTCTGTCACGCAGGCTGGAGTTCAGTGGCATAATCTTGGCTCGTGGCAGCCTTGACCTCCTGGACTCAAGTGATCCTCCCACCTCAGCCTCCTGAGAAGCTTGGGCAACTGGCATACACTAACACACAGGCCCAGCAAACTTTTTTTTTTTTTTTTTGAGACAGAGTCTCACTCTGTGGCCCAGGCTGGAGTGCAGTGGCCTGATCTTGGCTCAGTGCAACGTCTGCCTCCTGGGTTCAAGCGATTCTTCTGCCTCAGCCTCCCAAGTGCTAGAACTACAGGCATGTGCCACTATGCCTGGCTATTTTTTTGTATTTTTAGTAGAGTCAGAGTTTAGCCATATTGGCCAGGCTGGTCTCAAACTCCTGACCTCGTGATTCACCTGCCTCAGCCTCCTAAAGTGCTGGGATTACAGGTGTGAGCCACCCTGCCCAGCCAGCAAACTTTTTTTTGAGACCGAGTCTCACTCTGTTGCCCAGGCTGGAGTGTAGTGGTGTGATCTCCACTCACTGCAGCCTCCGCCTCCTGGGTTCACGTGATCTTGTGCCTCAGCATCCCAAGTAGCTGGGACTACAGGCATGAGCCACCAAGCCTGGCTAATTTTTTTTTTTTTTTTTTTTTGAGATGGAGTTTTGCTCTTTTTACCCAGGCTGGAGTCCAATGGCGTGATCTTGACTCACCGCAACCTCCACCTCCTGGGTTCAAGCAATTCTCCTGCTTCAGCCTCCCAAGTAGCTGGGACTACAGGCGTGCACCACCATGCCCAGCTAATTTTTTTTGTAGTTTTAGTAGAGACGGGGTTTTACCATGTTGACCAGGGTGGTCTCGATCTCTTGACCTCGTGATCCACCCATCTCAGCCTCCCGAAGTGCTGGGATTATAGGCCTGAGCCACCGCGCCCAGCCAAATTTTGGTATTTTTAGTAGAGACACGGTTTCACCATGTTGACAAGGCTAGTCTTGAACTCTTGACCTCAGGTGATCTATCTGCTTTGGGGTATTTTACAGGGGTAAGCCACCTCCCCTGGCCACTAACTTTTTTTTTAAAGCACAAGATGGGGTCGAGTGTGGTGGCTGATGCCTGTAATCCCAGCACTTTGGGAGGCTGAGGCAGGAAGATGGCTTGAGCTCAGGAATTTGAGATCAGACTGGGCAACATATTGAGACACTGTCTTTACAAAAATTTAAACAATGAGAATATGCCTGTGGTTCCAACTACTTGAGAGGGCTGAGGTAGGAGGATTGCTTAAACCTGGGAAGTCAAGGCTGCAGTGACCTATGACATCATGCCACTGTACTCTAACCTTGGCAACAGAGCAAGACCATCTTAAAAAAAAAAAGTGGTCTGGGCACAGTGGCTCACATCTGTAATCCCAGCACTTTGGGAGGCAGAGGCAGGTGGATCACAAGGTCAGGAGTTCAAGACCAGCCTGGCCAACACGGTGAAACCCCGTCTCTACTAAAAATACAAAATAGCCCAGTGTGGTGGCGTGCACCTATAATCCCAGCTACTCAGGAGACTGAGGCAGGAGAATCACTTGAACCCAGGAGGCAGAGGTTGCAGTGAGCCGATATTATGCCACTACACTCCAGTTTGGGCAACAGAGCAAGATTCTGTCTTGGAAAAAACAAAAGGTAATCTGGCCAGGCGTGATGGCTCACGCCTGTAATCCCAGCACTTTGGGAGGCCAAGGCGTGTGGATCACGAGGTCTAGAGATCAAGACCATCCTGGTCAACATGGTGAAACCCTGTCTCTACTAAAAATACAAAAAATTAGCTGGGCGTGGTGGCGCGTGCCTGTAATCCCAGCTACTCAGGAGGCTGAGGCAGGAGAATTGCCTGAACCCAGGAGGCGGAGGTTGCGGTGAGCCGAGATCGCGCCATTGCACTCCAGCCTGGGTAACAAGAGCGAAACTCCGTCTCAAAAAAAAAAAAAAAAAAGTACTCTGGGCACAGTGGTTCACGCCTGTAATCTCAGCACTTTGGGAAGCCAAGGTGGGTGGATCACCTGAGGTCAGGAGTTTGAGATCAGCATGGCCAACATGTTGAAACCCTGTCTCTAATAAAAATACAAAAATTAGCCAGGTGTGGTGGCAGGTACCTGTAATCCCAGCTACTCAGGAGGCTGAGACAGGAGAATTGCTTGAGCCTAGGAGGCAGAGGTTGCAGTGAGCTGAGACCATTCCATTGTACTCCAGCCTGGGCAACAGAGCGAGACTCCATATAAAAAAAAAAGTTAAAAAACAAGATGGTTAATACTTTTGATTCTATTAGACAAATTACAGGTGGAGGTGATTATATACTCAAATAACCTTTTAATAAGTAACCACTTAAATATAAATGTAGTGTTTTTTTTTTTTTGAGATGGAGTTTCCCTCTTGTTACCCAGGATGGAGTGCAATGGCGCCATCTCGGCTCACTGCAACCTCCGCCTCCTGGGTTCAGGCAATTCTCCTGCCTCAGCCTCCTGAGTAGCTGGGATTACAGGCACGTGCCACCATGCCCAGCTAATTTTTTGTATTTTTAGTAGAGACGGGGTTTCACCATGTTGACCAGGATGGTCTCAATCTCTTGACCTCGTGATCCACCCACCTCAGTCTCCCAAAGTGCTGGGATTACAGGCTTGAGCCACCGCGCCCAGCCATAAATGTAGTTCTTAACTCAAGGACTGTTAAAAAAAAATTGATAATTGACTAACTCCTGGTGTAGAACTTTTTAGCTGAAGGGAGTCTGGGGATGTAAACCTGCGTTCTTTCTTTTTTCTTTTTTTTTTGCGACGGAGTTTCCCTCTTGTTACCCAGGCTGGAGTGCAATGGCGCGATCTCGGCTCACCGCAACCTCTGCCTCCTGGGTTCAGGCAATTCTCCTGCCTCAGCCTCCTGAGTAGCTGGGATTACAGGCGCGCGCCACCATGCCCAGCTAATTTTTTGTATTTTTTAGTAGAGACAGGGTTTCACCATGTTGACCAGGATGGTCTCGATCTCTTGACCTCGTGATCCACCTGCCTCGGCCTTCCAAAGTGCTGGGATTACAGGTGTGAGCCACTGCACCCGGCCCTCTTTCTTTTTTATTTTTATATTTTGAGATGGAGTCTCACTCTGTAGGCCAGGCTAGAGCGCAGTTGTGCGATCTTGGCTCACTACAACCTCTGCCTCCCAGGTTCAAGCAATTCTCTTGCCTCAGCCTCCCTAGTAGCTGGGACTACAGGCGCGTGCCACCACACCTGGCTAATTTTTTGTATTTTTATTAGAGATGGGGTTTCACCATTTTAGCCAGGATGGTCTTGATCTCCTGACCTTGTGATCTGCCCATCTTGGCCTCTCAAAGTGCTTTTTCCTTCTTCCTAGGAAGTCTTGAGTCAGAGTGAAGAGAAGTTTGGGGATTAAGTTTGAGAGAAGCCCCAGCAGAGAACAGATTCTTCTATCTGGGATTTAGACTAGTATTTGTGGTGTGCTTGGATGACATGTGCCTTTTTTCCCTTTTGCTTTCTTTCCTATAGCTGCCTAGGAGCCCGGAGTCAGGGTGCCTGTGCTTCAGGCAGGCACTTGACACAGCCTGGGATAAGTCTAGGAGCTAGGTCAAGGCAGGGGTGGGAGCCAGACCCAGGGCTGAGGTGGGGCATGGAACAGCGGGGGTCAGATGTTAAGGGAAGTACATCTGCACCCAGGTGGGGATCTTGAATGCTATGCCAGGCACCCACAGCAAGAGCTTTGGGTGCTTTAGTTTTGCTGCTGATGTCATGTTTCCAGTCTGGATTTTAGCAAAATTAACTGATCTATCGTTCTACCTGATGCCTGTTTTCTTCTCTCTCATTAGGGGGTTCTGGGTCCAGCTTCCAGCCCACTTACCTGCCTTCCTTAATCTTTTCCCCGTTCTCACCCCCTTGCTGGCCTGAGCTCCCAGAACTCCCAGAGTCTGTCTACATGACTCTCTGAGGGTCTTTCCCTGTATGGCCTTGGCCTAGGAATTTTTTTCATAAGTTTCTCTAACCAACTCCTTAGAACTTGGAACTCATTTCCATGTTCTATACTTTTTTTTTTTTTTTTTTTTTGAGACAGAGTCTCGCTTTGTTGTCCAGGCTGGAGTGCAGTAGTGTGATCTCAGCTCACTGCAACCTCAGCCTCCTAGGTTCAAGCAATTCTCCTGCCTCAGCCTCCTGAGTGAGTAGCTGGCATTACAGGTGTGCGCCACCATGCTCAGCTAATTTTTGTATTTTTAGTTGAGATGCGGTTTCACCATATTGGTCAGGCTGGTCTTGAACTCCTGACCTTGCGATCCGCCTGTCTCAGCCTCCCAGAGTGCTGGGATTAAAGTGTGAGCCACAGCGCCTGGCCTATACTTCTTTTTTTCTGTTTATTTATCCATTTGTCTTCTGATTGAAATTTTAAAAAAATTTTTTAAAGAGTTTTTGTTTTTTGTTTGTTTGTTTGTTTGAGACAAAGTCTCACTCTTGTCCCCCAGGCTGGAGTACAGTGGCATGATCTCGGCTCACTGTAACCTCCACCTCCCGGGTTCAAGTGATTCTCCTGCCTCAGCCTCCCAGGTAGCTGGGATTATAGGTGCCTGCCACCATGCCTGCCTAATTTTTGCATTTTTAATAGAGACAGGGTTTCATCATGTTGGCCAGGCTGATCTTGAACTTCTGACCTCAGGAGATCCACCTGCCTCTGCCTCCCAAAGTGCTGGGATTATAGGCGTGAGCCACCATGCCTGGCCTTAATTTTTTTAAAAAAAGAGGTGGAGTCTTGCTATGTTGACAAGGCTGGTCTCGAACTCTTGACCTCAAGCAATCTTCCCATGTTGGCCTCCCAAAGTGCTAGAATTACAGGTGTGAGCCACTGTGCCCAGCCTGAAAAAAATACTTACTAAAGCCCTGTTTATGGTAGATGGTGGGAAAATATTGTTAGTTTTTGCTAGACATTGCTGAGATGGCTTGGGTAGGAAGGCATCTTAGAGACTGGTTGGGGTAGGGGCAGGGCAAAGGGTTTGGGGCCTCTGAATAGGCTTCTGGTCCCTCAGACTGAAACCATCTTCCTTTTTTTTTTTTTATTTTTTTGAGACGGAGTTTCGCTCTTATTACCCAGGCTGGAGTGCAATGGCACGATCTCGGCTCACCGCAACCTCCGCCTCCTGGGTTCAAGCCATTCTTCTACTTCAGCCTCCCGAGTAGCTGGGACTACAGGCTGCGCCACCATGCCCAGCTAAGTTTTGTATTTTTAGTAGAGACAGGGTTTCACCATGTTGACCAGGATGGTCTCGATCTCTTGACCTTGTGATCCACCCGCCTCTGTCTCCCAAAGTGCTGGGATTATAGGCGTGAGCCACCGTGCCCGCCCCCCCTTTTTTTTTTTTTTGAGATGGAATTTCGCTCTCATTGCCCAGGCTGGAGTGCAGTGGTATGATCTCAGCTTACTACCACTTCCATCTCTTGGGTTCAAGCAATTCTCTTGCCTCAGCCTCCCGAGTAGCTGGGATTACAGGTGCATGCCACCACACCCAGCTAATTTTGTATTTTTAGTAGGGACAGGGTTTCACCATGTTGGTCAGGCTGACTTCCAGTTGGCCAGGCTGGTTTCAAACTCCTGACCTCAGGTGATCTGCCCACCTCAGCCTCCCAAAGTGCTGGGATTACAGGCATGAACCACCCTGTCCAACCCATCTTTCATCTTTCACCTCCACCGCATGGAGGGCCCTGTTATATTTCTGACCCACCTCCTCCAGCACTGACCTTGGGGTGGCGACATTAGAATGCTGAAACCAACAAAGCTGAAACCTCTGCTTATCTCACCTGGCAGGTAAAAGCAGCTGTTAAGTATGCCCTTAGTGTAGGCTACCGCCACATTGACTGTGCTGCCATCTACGGCAATGAGCCTGAGATTGGGGAGGCCCTGAAGGAGGACGTGGGACCAGGCAAGGTAAGGACTGCGGTTGTCAAGAGAGGTGGAATAAAAGAACTCAGAAGCTGAAGCTGGAGCTGGGGCTGGGGCCCAGCTGGAGGGAATCTGGCATCAGCTTCCTTCCAGTTCGTCTCTCAGAGTTGAGGGTGGGTGAGACCAGGTGCTCGTGGCTCTCCTCACTGTGGGCCCTTCCCCCTGCACTAGGCAGTGCCTCGGGAGGAGCTGTTTGTGACATCCAAGCTGTGGAACACCAAACACCACCCCAAGGATGTGGAGCCTGCCCTCCAAAAGACTCTGGCTGACCTTCAGCTGGAATATCTGGACCTGTACCTGATGCACTGGCCTTATGCCTTCGAGTGAGCCTTGCTAGAGCCTCATCTGGGGAATCAGGGTGGAGCAGGATGGTATTAGTAACTTACTGTAAGTCACAGCAGCAAAGCAGAATAGGAACACTTATCTGCGTGGCAAGCTGAGGAGCTTAACATGGGATCTTTGCCTCTTCTGCTACAGCAGCTTAGTGGAACTTACAGGAGTTTAACTCTAGAAAAAGGAAGCAAGCCTCACATGGCATGTACCCTAGGGTGTATGCCTGTAACCCTCCTGCTCCATTTATTCATTCAGGAAAGGTGCTGACCTTTCTGTGGAGCTACTGTAACCTGGAGTTACAGTAATAAGTAAGTCTCAGCAGAGGATGTGAGAAGAGCCCACCATTAGTGCTGTGCCCTGTGCTGGAAAAAAGGCGGAAGGGTGGATAACTCCCTGAAGACGAGTTAAGGAGGACTTCCCAGAGGAGAGGAGATATCTGGGTTTAGGAAGAGGAGGGGCATAAGCATTCCATGTAGACTTAACACTTGGGTTACCATCTGGAAGGATGAAAAATCATGACTTTTTAAAAATTCTTGGCCTTTTGTCCTCTCTGGGATTGGAGTTTGGGACATAGAGTGGCTGGATGGGAAGTCAGGGCAGAAACCTGGCATTTGTGTCCACACTTAGTGGGACTGTCTCTCACTCAGGCGGGGAGACAATCCCTTCCCCAAGAATGCTGATGGAACTATACGCTATGACTCTACCCACTACAAGGAGACTTGGAAGGCTCTGGAGGCACTGGTAGCTAAGGGGCTGGTGCGAGCGCTGGGCCTGTCCAACTTCAACAGTCGGCAGATCGATGACATACTCAGTGTGGCTTCCGTGCGTCCAGCTGTCTTGCAGGTAAGGACAGCAAGCAGATGAGTGGTTAAGGGTTGTGTGCTCAAGAGCATGAGTGAGCAAATGATTGATCTGCTTAATGGAGATGGCTAGCAAGTTGTCAGAGTGTTGGTGCAGAAGTCCTCTGCATAAAGGTGGGCACTGAAGCACTGGGAGAAAATGAAATTGCTGATGGGAAACAGTGAGAAAAGCAGGCTGAGGGGAAGTGGGGGCATGGGGGTCAGCAATAGGGGGTTGGTCCAGACATGCATGTCTGGGATGGAACAGGCAAACTGGGTGTGACCACTTCATGGTGATGGGTTATTCCTTGGCTCAGGTGGAATGCCACCCATACTTGGCTCAGAATGAGCTAATTGCCCACTGCCAAGCACGTGGCCTGGAGGTAACTGCTTATAGCCCTTTGGGCTCCTCTGATCGTGCATGGCGTGATCCTAATGAACCTGTCCTGCTGGAGGAACCAGTAGTCCTGGCATTGGCTGAAAAGTATGGCCGATCTCCAGCTCAGATCTTGCTCAGGTATGGGGCAGTCTTAGGGAAAGTGCCCTGGGTTGGGAGGCAAGGGTTAAGGGATTTCTTATTTCAGTGTCTGGGTGAGGAGGGAGGCCACTCTAGGCATACTCCCCATTTTGATGGGGCTCAGGTGCTCCAGGAGCTTAGGGACGGCTGGATGGAGAACAAAATGATGTTTATGAATAATGATCCCCTTTTCTCATCTACCTAATCCCCCAACTTAGGTGGCAGGTCCAGCGGAAAGTGATCTGCATCCCCAAAAGTATCACTCCTTCTCGAATCCTTCAGAACATCAAGGTACTTGGAATGGTTCTATCTTCTTCAGCTCTTTGGGACATTTTCTTGGCCCTGGCTCTGCCTGGCTAAAAAGGCAGTGTTGTGGAACCCCAGCTTCTGCTCACAAGACTGGCTTTCCTGAACCCCACTCTCCTCCTCAGGTGTTTGACTTCACCTTTAGCCCAGAAGAGATGAAGCAGCTAAATGCCCTGAACAAAAATTGGCGATATATTGTGCCTATGCTTATGGTGAGGATGTATCAGCCCGCTAGACTCGGGGCACGTGAAATTTGGGGTGGGATTCTGGCCCAAGTGTGACCTCAGACTTGCTGGTTGTGAAAGGGATACAATGTTGTGGGTGGGATTGCTATGCTGGACATAGTGCACTCATTTCTCTTCATTGATTTGAGGGAAGTAGTATGGCTCAGGGATAAGGCATATAACCTGTGAGTCCCAGTCCTGCTTCTTGATATCTTGTAACCCAGAGCAAGTTACTAAACTTCTCTAAGCCTCAGCTTCCCATATGTGACATAAGCCCGATTCCTGACATATAGTAGATTCTCAGTAAATGATATGAGAGCCCAGAAGGCATTGTTGACCTCGGTCAAGGGGTTGGGTTGGGAGGAAAGTCTGCTGTACTTAGCCTGTTGATCTCAGTTGAGACTGCAAACTCTTAGGAGCAGGGGCAGCTACATGTCAGGCTATAGGTTTGGTGCTGTAATGCTGTTGACACTGTGGTGTTCTCTGAGATGGGGATCCCGGCCACTGCCATCTGACACAGTGCTGTACACGACAAGTTTGTTTAGGAAGATTTGGGGAAGATGCCTGGAGTCTTCGGAATGGTAGCTCCTGCTGGTGGAGTAATCTATCTGTCTCTCTTTCCAGGTGGATGGGAAAAGAGTCCCAAGGGATGCAGGGCATCCTCTGTACCCCTTTAATGACCCATACTGAGACCACCACTTCTTGGCCTTCCTTCCAGCTCTTCAGCTAATGAGGTCCTGCCACAACAGAAAGAGAGTTAATAAAGCCATGAGAACATCCACACTGCTTGCTTGTCTTATATGCCTGGTCAGGCCTGGGATGGAGGCTGTTTCCCCCGGGGACGACAGACCTAGGGCTGCTGGATGTGACCTGCCCTTGAAGCCCAAACATACATGTCACAGGTTCTGGAGGAACCTGTGAGGTGGCTGAGTAATTCTGTATCCTTGCATTAGGCACATTGGGAAGTAGCACCATCTAGTGGCAAATCTTAAGTATTGCATGCTTCCGGGGAGTCTTACCAAGAATGCCTTTAATTGGTTACGTCAGGAATGAGCTATCACGGCAATGATTGTCCTTTGGTTTCAAGGCAGTGCTGGACCTGGGCCTTGAGTTCCCATCCCCCTGTCCTGATCAGTGCCTAGGATTAGGAATATGAAGAGTCCAAACAACTTACATTCAGAAGTTAGGGGATCCCAGCTTGCAAAATCACAAAAGGTGGGGATGGGCTTTTTCTGTCAGACACTGTAGTCAATGTGCATAAGTGACCTGCAGGAGGCAGAGTCCAGGCCAGACCTTGTCACTCAGCCCTTAAGGCCCGTCTTACGCACTTTTTATTAGTGGCCATCAGAGGCCAGTGATAAACAGGTTGTAGGAAAATTTTTGGCAAATCTCTCTAAACTCCAGTCACACAAAGCTCAGTTTACTTTCCCAAACCATTGCTCCTCATTCACGAAGTATTCATTGGGTACTTATGAGTTAGCCATGATGCTAGGCCCCAGGGATATTGCTATAACCAAGACATACAAGTCCCTACAGCCTACTTGAGGAGACAGACTAATTGTATAATGAGTTTAATTATAGTTGGAAGAAGTGTTTTGAAGAAGTGTAGGGTGAGAAGCCTACTTATTTAATCAGCTAAGATCTGAAGATGAATAGGGATTAACTTTAAAGGAGATAAGAGTGGGAACAGCATTCCATACAAATTGGACAGCTTAGGGAAAAGTCTTGAAACTGGAAGAAGCTGCTGGAAAAACCTAAAGAAGACTTGTATTGACAGCAACTAAAAGTGAGTGAGGGTCACCTGATGGTACAGGCAATGGCATAAAACAATGCTGGAGGCTGGGCAGGGTGGCTCACGCCTGTAATCCCTGCACTTTAGGGGACTGAGGTCGGGAGTTTGAGACCAGCCTGACCATCATGGAGAAACCCTGTCTACTAAATATACAAAATTAGCCAGGTGTGGTGGCATATGCTTGTAATCTCAGCTACTTGGGAGACTGAGGCAGGAGAATTGCTTGAACCCTGGAGGTGGAAGTTGCAGTGAGCTGACATCTACATTGGCCTTTTAGACTGGCTTTGATGGAACTCTGTTGCACAAGGACTGTCAGAGAAAACCTTTTTTTTTTGAGATAGGGTTTTCCTCTTGTTGCCCAGGCTGGAGTGCAGTGGTACAGCCTTGGCTCACTGTAACCACTGCCTGCCAGTTTCAAGCAATTCTCCTGCCTCAGCCTCCCCAGTAGCTGGGATTATAGGCACCTGCCACCATGCTTAGCTAATTTTGTATTTTTTGTAGAGATGGGGTTTCACTATGTTGGCAGGCTAGTCTCAAACTCCTAACCTCGTGATCCACCCAACTCAGTCTCCCAAAGTGGTGGGATTACAAGTATGAGCCACCGTGCCCAACCAGAGAAGACCTTTTAAACCCAAGCCCAGCCATGGGGTTGTATCCTCAAATACCTCTGAGTTGGGTGATCCTCTCCTCTTAAGGTCCCAAGATAAACTTGGAACTCCTAGGTCTGTTAGAAAGTGACATTCTTTACTGACCACAGGTCAGGAACCCTGTACAGGGACCCTGTAGGCAAGGGTATGAAGCCAGTTTTTTTCCCCAAAAAATTTTTTCAGCTCTGCAAGTCCAGCTCGACTGCTTAAAAGGAAGCATACCCTTCCTGTCAAAGCCTTGGTAAAACAACCAGTTTCTCCAAATGCATCCTGTTACAAAAGAAAATGGATACTTATTGCAGTGAGGCAAACAACTATATTACAGCAAGTTAAGAATACTCAGAGTTTCCAAATTCTAGAGGAACAAGGCAAAGAGAAACAAACATGCTCCAGATTTTGTTCACAAGAGTATACCTAAGCTAGGCACGGTGGCTCACGCCTGTAATCCCAGCACTTTGGGAGGCCAAGGTGGGTGGATCAAGAGGTCAAGAGATCAAGACCATCCTGGCCAACATGATAAAACCCCATCTCTACTAAAAATACAAAAATTAGCAGGGCATGCTGGCATGTGCCTGTAGTCCTAGCTACTCAGGAGACTGACGCAGGAGAATTGCTTGAACCGGAAGGTGGAGTTTGCAGTCAGCCAAGATCATGACACTGCACTCCGGCCTGGGCAACAAGAGCAAAAACACCACCTGAAAAGAAAAAAAAGACTATAGCTAACTCAAATTATTAAAGGCCATAAATAGTTCAAAATAAGTTTCCTTGACTCCGAAAAACAAAACAAAGATCAGCAATATTCCAAGCAAAAGTTAAAAAGGTTTCTTCAGTTTCCTGAGTACATTCAGTTAACTCTTGCTTTGCTTGATATTTGTGAACATTTTAGCTCTTAATGAGTCCTGTATGTTTTTCCTTTATTCCAATGTTACAATCTCCAAAGTTATCAGAAATCTGTATTTGAGAGCACCTGTCAAAGTTCTGTAGCTTATTATAAACAATGTTTCAAAAAGGATTAAAACAAAACAATAACCATAATTGTCTATGAATAACCAAAAGTTCAGGGTATTTAGAAGCACAATTGAAAAAGAAGTTTGATTATCTCCATGGTTTACAAAAACTTAACAACTTTAATTATGATTGATAGCATATACTCAGACATTAGAATTTTAGAAATTCCATACAATTTTGGAACATATGTTAGTATTATTCACCAAAATATAACCTAAAGAAGACTGAACACAGTTCCATGTACCTAAATATTTCTATTTTTTTTCTTATGCAGTCCCCATAGAGACTGTCAAAAATTGCCATTGCGGGCTGTATTTCAAGTCATTATGGCGGGGTATTAGGAAAAGTTTTCAATGAGCAATAATCGTGCCTTGGATAAACCTCATTGGCTACGATACTGCCACTGTGCAAAGTGTACCTAAACATTTCAAGTAATCCTGTTTACCTCTCTTTTCTGGACACTCCAGGGGCTCTTCGGAAGTATTCGAAAACCCAGGTGTCAGGAAAGACAATTTTGAAACTGAAGTTTGATTTTGGAAAGTCTGTTAAATATGTTAAATATCTTGATGTTATGAAATAGAATTCCAGACTACCATAAATTACTTAGTTTGCCAAAATGATGACTCAGAAAAATAAAAAGGAAAAAAAACCTTTTATAACCCTTTACAAATTTTGGCAAAGAGCAGATTAATGCCTTAAGAGTACCTTGTTGTGCTTTTATTTCAATGCTCAATTTATAGAAAAATCATGTAATACCCTTTTGAATTTAGTCAAAATAATGACCTTTAGAATTTAGGCAGTTTCATTTTTCAGTGTCAAGGAAATATTTTTTTTTTTTTTTTTTGAGACAGAGTTTCACTCTTGTTACCCAGGCTGGAGTGCAATAGCGCGATCTCAGCTCACCGAAACCTCCGCCTCCTGGGTTCAAGCAATTCTCCTGCCTCAGCCTCCCGAGTAGCTGGGACTATAGGCGCGCACCACCATGCCCAGCTAATTTTTGTATTTTTAGTAGAGACAGGGTTTCACCTTGTTGACCAGGATGGTCTTGATCTCTTGACCTTTGATCCACCCGCCTCGGCCTCCCAAAGTGCTGGGATTATAGGTGTGAGCCACCACGCCTGGCTGGAAATATTTTGAACTATTTACAGCCTTTAACAAATGGAGTGAGGTATACTCTTGTAACAAAATCTAGAGCGTGTTTGTTTCTCTCTGCCTTGTTCCTCTAGAATTCGGAAACTATCTGTGAGTATTCTTAACTTGTGGTAATATAGTCGTTTGCATCAGTGCAAAAAGAATTTCTTTTGTAAGATTAATTTTTTTTTTTTTTAAAGATGGGGTTTCACCATGTTAGTCAGGCTGGTCTTGAACTCCTGACCCGAGGCGATCCTCCCACCTTGGCCTCCAAAGTGCTTGGATTACAGACGTGAGCCACCACGCCCGGCCATTTTATTTTTTTTTTAAGATGGAAATGGAGTCTCGCTCTGTTGCCCAGTTTGGAGTGCAGTGCCATGATCTCGGCTTACTGCAACCTCTGTCTCATGGGTTCAAGCAATTCTTGTGTTTCAGCGTCCCGAGTAGCTGGGACTACAGGTGCCTGCCACCATGCCTGACTAATTTTTGTATTTTTAGTAGAGACCAAAAAACAGTTTATAACTTTAAAACCTTTAGCCAACCTAGTATCTGACTTGTATAATTTAGTCCACCTATTTTTTTTTTTTTGAGACAAAGTCTCACTCTGTCACCCAGGATGGAGTCCAGTGCCATGATCTCAGCTCACTGCAACCTCTGCCTCCAGGGTTCAAGCAATTCTGCCTCAGCTTCCTAAGTAGCTGGGACTCCAGGCACACACTGGCACACCTGGCAAATTTTTTGTATTTTGGTATAGACGGTTTCACCGTGTTGCCCAGGCTGGCCGAAACACCTGAGCTCATGCAATCCACCTTTCTTGGCCTCCCAAAGTGCTGGGATTACAGGTGTGAGCCACTGTGCCCAGCCCAGTCCACCTATTTATATTTTGATGACATCTGCTTTTTCCCCTTAATCTTTAAGTCTGTTTTCATTTCTCAAAGATTAAAGTCATGTGAACTGAAAAGTACCACAGCTTTTATCTCCCCCCCCAGCTTTTTTTTGAGGCAGAGTTTCACTTTTGTTGCCCAGGTTGGAGGGCAATGGTGTGATCTTGACACATCACAAACTCTGTCTCCCAGGTACAAGTGATTCTCCTGTCTCAGCCTCCCGAGTAGCTAGGAATACAGGCATGGGCCACCATACCCGGCTAATTTTGTATTTTTAGTAGCAATGAGGTTTCTCCATGCTGATCAGGCTGGTCTAAAACTCCCGACTTCAGGTAATCTGCCTGCCTCTGCCTTCCCAAGTGCTGGGATTAGAGACGTGAGCCACCGCGCCCAGCCTATCTTCCCTTTAAGAAATATTTGATTCAGCCCGGCATGGTGGCTCACGCCTGTAATCCCAGCACTTTGGGAGGCTGAGGTGTGCAGATCACCTGAGGTCAGGAGTTCAAGACCAGCTGGACCAACATGGTGAAACCCATCTCAACTAAAAAAACAAAAAATTAACTGGGCTCAGTGGCAGGCACCTGTAATCTCAGCTACTCGGGAGGCTGAGGCAGGAGAATCACTTGAACCTGGGAGGTGGAGGTTATAGTGAGCCGAGATCACGCCACTGCACTGCAGCCTGGACAACAAGAGTGAGACTCCATCTCAAAAAAAAAAAAAAAGAAAAAGAAAATAAATATTTGATTCAAGTGCTTATTTTCCTTTTGGCCAATTAATTTGAGCTTTTTTTTTTTGAGACGGAGTTTCGCTGTTACCCGGACTGGAGTGCAATGGCATGATCTTGGCTCACCGCAACCTCCACCTCCTGGGTTCAAGCAATTCTCTGGCCTCAGCCTCCTGAGTAGCTGGGACTACAGGTGCGCACCACCATGCCCAGCTAATTTTTGTATTTTTAGTAGAGACGGGGTTTCACCTTGTTGACCAGGATGGTCTCGATCTCTTGACCTCGTGATCCACACGCCTTGGCCTCCCAAAGTGCTGGGATTATGGGCATGAGCCACCACGCCCGGCCAATTTGAGCTATTTTTATAGACATCACACACACAACACATAAATAATTCCACAGACTGGCAGAAGAAAACTCAGCCTCCACAAGATCCTTCATTTGCCAATCTCCTATTTGGACTATTGGTCTTCGGGTAATTTTAATTCCTGGGGTTTCATGAAGAAAGCAGGCTGGACATGGTGGCTCACTCCTGTAATTCCAGCACTTTGAGAGGCTGAGGTGGGTGGATCACCTGAGGTCGGGAGACCAATACCAGCCTGGCCAATGTGGTAAAACCCCGTCTTTACTAAAAATACAAAAATTAGCTGAGCATGGTGGCTCATGCCTGTAATGCCAGCTACTCAGGAGGCTGAGGCAGGAGAATTGCTTGAACCTAGGAGGCGGAGATTGAAGTGAGCTGAGATCATGCCAGCACACTCCAGCGTGGGCAACAGCCTGGGCGCACGTGGCTGGGATTACAGGTGTCTGCCACACATGCCCGGCTAATTTTTCTATTTTTAGTAGAGACAGGGTTTCACCATCTTGGCCAGGCAGGTCTTTAACTCCTGTCCTCATGATCCACCCACCTTGGCTTCCCAAAGGGCTGGGCTTACAGGTGTGAGCCACCATGCCTGGCCTACTTATTTATTTTTGAGCTGGAGTCTGGCACTGCCACCTGGGCTGGAGTTCAGTGGTCTGATCTTAGCTCAATGTAACCTCCGCCTCCCAGGTTCAAGTGATTCTCCTGCCTCAGCCTCCCAAGTAACTGAGATTACAGGTGCCTGCCACCACGCCCAGCTAATTTTTTGTATTTTTAGTCGAGATGGGTTTCACCATGTTGGTCAGGCTGGTCTTGGATGCCTGACCTTGTGATCCACCCACCTCAGTTTTCCAAAGTACTGGGATTACAGGCTTGAGCCACTACATCTGGTCTATTAAGTTTTTTTTTTTTTTTTTTGAGATGGAGTTTCGCTGTTGTTACCCAGACTGAAGTGCAATGGCATGATCTCGGCTCACCGCAACCTCCGCCTCCTGGGTTCAAGCAATTCTCCTGCCTCAGCCTCCCGAGTAGCTAGGACTACAGGCATGCATTACCATGCCCAGCTAATTTTTGTATTTTTAGTAGAGACGGGGTATCACCTTGTTGACCAGGATGGTCTCGATCTCTTGACCTCGTGATCCACCCGCCTCAGCCTTCCAAAGTGCTGGGATTATAGGCATGAGCCACTGTGCCTGGCCTAATTTCTTTTTTTTTTTTTGAGACAGTGTCTCAATCTGTCACCAGGCTGGAGTGCAGTAGCACGATCTTGGCTCACTGCAACCTCTGCCTCCCAGGTTCAAGCAATTCTCCTGCTTCAGCCTCCTCAGTAGCGGGGACTGCAGGCGTGTGCCACTACTCCCAGCTAATTTTTGTATTTTTAGTGGAGACGGGGTTTCACCATGTTGGCCAGGATGGTCTCGATTTCTTGACCTCATGATCTGCCCGCCTCGGCCTCCCAAAGTGCTGGGATTATAGGCGTGAGCCACAGCGCCTGGTCATCTATTAATTTATTTTTTTTGAGACAGGGTCGCACTCTGTAGCCCACTACACTCCGAGAGTGTAGTGGTGCACTCTCGGCTCTCCATAACCTTCACCTCCTATGCTTAAGCAATTCTCCTGCCTCAGCCTCCTGAGTAGCTGGGATTACAGGTCAGAGTCATCTTGCCCAGCTGATTTTCGTATTTTTTTTTATTTGAGATGGAGTCTTGTTCTGCTGCCAGGCTGGAGTGCAATGGCACTATCTCAGCTCACTGCAACCTCCACCTCCCAGGTTCAAGTGATTCTCCTGCCTCAGCCTCCCGAGTAGCTGGGATTACAGGCATCAGCCACCATGCCTGGCTAATTTTTTGTATTTTTAGTAGAGATGGGGTTTCACCATGTTGGCCAGGCTGGTCTCAAACTCCTGACCTCAGGTGATCTGCTCGCCTTGGCCTCCCAAAGGGTTGGGATTATACACATGAGCCACCATACCAGCCTTATTTTTATTTTTTATTATTATTCTTTTTAGAGACAGAGTCTCACTCTGTTGCCCAGGCTGAATTGCAGTGATGTGATTTTAGCTTGCTTCAACCTCTGCCTCCTGGGTTCAAGTGATTCTCCTGCCTCAGCCTGTTGAGTAGCTAGGACTACAGGTGCCCACTACCATGCCCAGCTAATTTTTGTATTTTTAGTAGAGATGGGGCTTCATTATGCTGGTGAGCGTGGTCTCCATCTCTTGACCTCGTGATCCACCTGCCTCAGCCTCTCAAATTGCTGGGATTAAAGGTGTGAGCCACCGGACCTGACGATTTATTTATTTAGAGACAGAGTCTCAC